TGCCATCAAAGTAGTACCTGCTCGTGGGTGGGTGGGTGGGGGGTTGGGGTTGGGGAGGGCGCGCAGGGCGGGTCGGGTGCAGTGCCGGGATGCAGCGCCGGGATGCAGGGCCGGGATGCAGAGCCGGGACGCAGGGCGGCGTGGCAGGTGGCAAAGGCACCAGGGCAGCCCGCGGTAGCCGTGCGACAGCACCAAAACCAGCAGGCAGCGGCGGGGGTGAAGGGAGCCTGGCGGGCAGGCGCTGCGCGCTGCCTGCCTCTCATGGTACCTCCAGCCCTCAGCGGCGCAGCCCCCAGCCCCGCACCTGTTGGTCTTGCTGTCCAGCAGGCGCCTGCGTGTGGCCGCATACACCTCCTTGTCGTAAGGGAAGCCCAGCATGGGGACGGAGATGAGGGAGGGGACTGCAGGGGGGAGGTGGGGCAGGCGGGCAGCGGCGTCAGCGCCTGAGCACGAGGCGGCGCGGGTGCCGCCTGCGGAGCGCGCCTGCCTGCCCGCTGGCCCAGCGCCAGCCCAGGAGCAGAGCCCCTGGCCGCCCGCCCAGCCCTCCCGCCACGCAGGCAGACCGCCGGCAGCAACGGCGACACAGGGGTGACGACAGAGGCAAGCGGCAGGCCCCCTCAAGCTGCGCTGTGCAGTACATTGCAGTATGGTACGATACAGTACCGTTTGGGTCGTCAAAGTCGGTGAGCGAGGCGCCCTTGCCGTCCACCTCGTAAGCATACACCCGCTCCCCGCCGCCCACCTCCACCACGCCGTGCTTCTCGATGCCTGCAGGGGTGGCCGGGCCGCCGCGCCTCCTCAGCGCTTTGCCCCGCCCGCGCCAGGGGTGGGCCGCACGCACGCAGCCGGCCAGCGCGCCGTGCCCGGCAGGCAGCCAGATGGGCATGCAGGCCAGGCCCGAACTCCCAGCCCTGCCGCCCATCGCAGTCAAGCGGCAGCACGCCGCTGCCCAGCCCCCCCCGCACCCGACTTGATCTCTGCCATCAGCCGCGTCACCTTCGCCTCAAACTCAGGCATCTGCCAAACCTGCACACCACGCACACACACACACACACAGCAGCAGCAGCAGCACTGAAATTCACGCCAGCTTGTGGCGCCCGCATCCGGCGCCTCTGTGGCAGGAGCCTGCCCGCCGCGGAACGGCCACAACCCACACGCACAGCACGCAGGCACGAGCTGAACACGTGCCCGCACCTGTTTGTTAAGCTCCAGTGCCCGCGCCAGCCCCGCATAGGCGTACATGTTTGCGGGGATGGGGAAGCCGTACTGGCTGGCATCGTCGCTGGGGCGGAAGCCGCTCCACGTCATGCCTGCGGTACCGGGCGGGGGGCGGGCGACCGGCGGGCAAGCTGAGGCGAGCGTGCTGTTGCTGGTCGGCAGGCAGGCAGGCAGGCAGGCAGGCAGCAAGGGCCAGAAGGGGCCTGGATGCCTGCCAGCCAGGCCCGGGGGGCGTGGGGTGACTGCCAGCAGCCGCCCATGCCTGGCCGCCTCCCCTCACTGCCGGCAGACGCTGCGCGCCCCCGGGCACTCCCAGCCCCAGCCTCGGGAGCAGCCCCCCAGCCTCGGGGCGCGCCTGTGAAGTCCACGAGGGGCCCCAGCCCCCCGTTGGACAGCTCGTGGAATCGGTAGGGCGAGGAGGCGTTGTGGCGCTGCTCCCGCACCCACACATCCACCAGCAGGTTGGCGGCGTCGTAGGTGGAGGGCTCGGAGATGAGGGCATCTGGGCGGTACAGGCCCGGGGTCAGGAAGTAGTTCCACAGCAGGTTGAGGTAGTAGGCGCCTGCGGCAGGGGCACGGCACCGGGGGGTGGGCAGGGCAGGGCTGGCGGGGTGCGGGACGGCTGGGGCGGCTGGGATGCTTGGGAGCGCCTTGCAGGGGATGGACAGAGAGCCAGGGGTGGCAGGACGCAAGGGGACAGGTCTGCTTCCCAGCCCACACCAGCCCACCCGAGTCGAGCTCGTAGTTGCGCACGCCCACCCAGCCGCCGCGCCCCGCGGTGCGGTCGCCCTTGTGCCGCGACTCTGCATGGCAGCGGGATGCAGCGGGGTGTGGGGCAGGGGTGCAGAGCGGGGCTGGGAGGCGCATGCGACGCTCACGGCAAGGCCAGGGGAGATGGAGGAGGCGGGCGGGCACATGGGCCGCCGGCGCATCGGGCCTGGCCCTCACCGGGGTGCCGCCACTCGGGCTCGTACCCGTTGGCGTATCTGCACTAACAGATTTATAAGGTTTTGTTTTCAGATGGACAACAGATAGCGTCACTACTTTTCTTGTACATCAATTAAATTTAGAACTTACGGGTCCTGCATGATGTAGAAGGCCTGGGCGCGGATGGCGCCCTCCACCACGGCGCGCAGCTGCGGCTGCCTGGCCATGCGCGGGATCAGCACGCTGATCTGCACCGCCGAGTCGCGGATCCACATCAGCGGCAGGTCGCCTGCGGGGGCGGTCAGGTGAGGAGGGCTCAGATGATTCATGCTGATGAAAGCGCAGCGATGCCCCTGGATTGCGCATCGCGCCAGCCATGGTTCTTGCAGCGGATGCCCTGCAAGCCCCTGCCGCTGCCCCCGCCGCCCGCCGCCTCACCAGTGGCCACAAAGGTCCAGATGCCGGTCTCATGCGACACCCAGCCCGTCTGCAGCCAGGACGCGGCGCGGATGCTGTAGGTACCTCGGTATCTACCAACTGTGCTGTTGGGGGGGGGGGCACCACCCGGGACGTCCTTGCCCCGCACCCCGGCAACGCATGCCAACATGCTTCAACCACAGCTGCCCCGGTCAGCGTCCAGGCCGCGCCCACCCAGGCCTGTCCCAGCCCTTGTACCGCAGTGCTGCAGCCAGCCACGCCCCATGCCAGCCTCCACCCACAGCACCTGCAAGCTGTGGTACATTGTGCGCCCGCACAGCTCGCGCAGCTCTTTCTTCTCCTGCTCGCTCAGCAGCGCTGACACCTTGTCCGTGGCAGCCTTGTCGTGGTTGGGGCCCAGCGCATACACCTCCCGCGGCAGCGAGGCGGGCGCCTCGGGGCGACGCCACCGCCCGGCCGCGGTGCCGCCGCTGCTGCCGCCGGACATGACTTGCTGGGTGGCGCTGGGCAGGCCGCCGTCCATGGCCACTGTGGTGGTGTGGTGCATGACGATGGACAGCAGGCTGGCGCCTGCTGCCAGGCCGATGAGCACGCCCAGAACGAGGGTGATGCCGCTGCCGCCGCCGCCGGCGCGGAGGTGGTGCCGGGCTAACGCCATGCTGGGGGCGGGCGCTACTGGGGATTGTGGGCTCTATTGCTGCATCCCTGGCAGTGGAAGCGCCGTGTGCGGCTCACCAGCAGCGGGATGTTCGCCACCCTGTCTGCGGCTGCCCCTGTCGAGGCAGTTGTCCAAGAGGTGGAGGTGCCCGATTGGGGGTGCTGCCCCTGAGGTTGGGACGTGGCTGCTCCTGCTGAGCTTGTGCTGCGCTGGCGATCGATGCGATTGGTGATGTCTCGAGAGGCCCCATCGCGCCCATCTGTGCATTACCACTCGCACCAACTTCATCGCAGTCGCTGCAAACCGCCGCAAGCGCCTCATCCACCACCCCCGACAGTGTGCACTTAGAGAGCGAGCCGTATGTCGCTGGCCACGCAAATCAGCGCCAGCCGCTGCCAGGCAGCCGCCTTCCGGCCTGCGTGCTCCCGGCGTGGCGCTGGCTGCCGGCGGGGGGCGGCGGTGCGAGCCGCCGCGGAACGGCAGCAGCAGCAGCCCTCCGCAGCGCTGGACCGGCGGCAGGCCCTGCTGGGGCTGGCGGCAGTGCTGGCGGCCGCCAAGGCGCAGCCGGCGCTGGCTGGGGGTAAGTCGCCCGGTGGTGTCGCCCCAGCTCAGAATTATCTCCCAGTCGGCCGCTCGTTACCGCTTGCGCACTGCTGCCTCCATTTCACCCCATGGGTTCTGCTGCCGCCCCGCTGAGCGCAGAGGTTGAGACCTTTTACGGCCTAGCAACCCCTCCCACCAGTTACGGCGGCTACGGCGGCACCTCGCAGAGCCGCCAGGAGGATGGTGAGCACAGCTGGTGGCAGCTGCAGCGGCAGCAGCGGTTTGCGAGACGGCAGGGGGCGCGGCTCTCGCTGCCTTCTCACCACCTGCTGCCTGCTGCGCCCTCCTCTCCTCTCCGCCCCTGCAGCCAAGTACATTTTCCAGTACCCTGCCGGCTGGAAGAGCGAGATCATCAACAAGCGCGACAAGGGCACCCAGGGGGTGGACTGCCGGGTGAGGCGGAGCCCGCTGGCGCCTGCGCGGACCCTGTCGAGGCACGCCCGCAGATGCGTCAGCCGTCCCCTGCCGCCTGCCTGCACCCCCTGCAACCACCTCCCTTTCCCTTCTCCCCCACCCCTTCCCCTGCCAGATCTACAACCCCGCCAACAAGCTGCAGCAGGTGTTTGTGATCACGCTGGGGCGTGCGGGGGAGGACAACCGATCCTTCCGCATCACAAACGTGGATGCCACGCTGGAGGGCTTTGCGGGGGCAGACTACGACATGCTGGTGGGTGGGGGGTGCGTGAGGGGAGGCGGAGGCGGGAGGGTGAGGGGAGGTGGCGAGGTGGGATACGAGAATTGGGTGGCAGGGGCAGCAGGCGTGCCTGGCGAGGTGGGAGGCGGGCACAGGCGGGCCGTGCATCGCGAGGTGCGGCAGCGCGCCGGTCCCAGCTGCGCTGGGCGCCCACAGGCGCTGCCGCTGGTGCCGCGCCGGCCTGGGCGCAGGATGCGCTGGGCGATGCGGTGATGCGCAAGGATGAGTTCCGGGAGGTGGATGGCCAGCAGTACTTTGGTGAGGAGGGGGGTGCTGGGGGGTGGGGTGGGGGTGATGAGGGGAGTGATGAGGGGGTGGGGATGATGAGGGAGGGGTGATGAGGGGGGCTGGTGGGGAGGCGTGGTGGCGGTTCCCGCTCCCGCTGCTCCAGCCAGCCAGCCTGGCAAACGCGCTGACGGCTAACCTGCCCCCCGATGCCCGCCTCCGGCGAAACCACCTTCTGTGCTGTGTGTGACGCGCTGGCCCTGGACGCAACCCCACCCCTGCCGCAGATGTCGAGTTTGCCTCCCCCAGCCAGCACTACCTGTCCAGCATCACCGTCAATGCGGGCAAGGTGTACGCTATGTTTGTCAAGTCGCCGGAGAAGGTGGGTGGGCGGGTGCACAGGGGTGTCAGGGGAGGGGGGGGTGTCAGGCGCAGGAGGGTAGATCCAGGCGGGACCTGCCGCGCCCAGCAGCAGCGGCTGTCTCCCGTCTGGGACTGTTTGCAGTTGTGTGCGTGCAGCCTGCTGGCCCGAGGCAGCACATTGACGAGTTGCTGCGGCTCCGCTGCTCCTCCTGTCCCTCCCTCCCGCAGATCTTTGCCGAAAACGAGGCTTCGCTGCGCGCCATCCGTGCCTCCTTCCGCACCGTCTGAGTGTGACCTTGCGGTCGTGAAGGAGTGGCATGCAAGTGGAGCGAGCTTATGCTGCAGGAGGCGAGGCCAGGGCGTAGCTCTTGTGCTCTCTTCTGTTGATCTATGAGATTTTCCTGTTACTGGTCTTCATTTAAAAGCATGGAGAGAGTTTGCCGTGGCAGTCGCCAAAGCAGACGGCGGCGGCGGCAGCAGCGGTTTGCAGCCTTGCATCGGCATCGGCCACTTTCGCTCTCAGTGTGTCTTGGATAAGTCGTAGGGATACCGAGCGCTCTGCTGCGGCCTGCCCAGCCTCCAAGACCGAGCTGTACCCCCCTTTTGGTCGGTGTACTGCAAAGGTCGGTGCATCGGGAGGGTAACCGAGTAGCAGTTCCGCATTGCCCCACGTGCTATCCGATCACCCTTCAAGCCCTTCGGGTACTTGATAGTAAGAGCCCCTGCCTGGATCGCCTCATCGCCTTGCTGCTGCCCAGCGCCCTGAGATGGCGCGGCCGTGGTATGCCACCGTGTCTCTGACGGATGAGGAGGAGCGCAAGGTGGTCCAGCTGAAGGACGCAGTGGCGAGCGTGGTGGCGGTGAGCTGCCGCCGCCGCCGCCGCCAGCGGTCGAATGCCGCCGCCACCGCAGCTGCATTCCCTAGGCCCTGTGCTGTCATCAATCTGGTTGACAGCAAGATGAAATGTGATCCAGGTGGTACTGGTGCCCTAGTGGAAATCGGCCCTCCCAACTGTGCTTTGCCTGCGCCGCAGGCTTCTGCCGCGCACACCGCCTTCTGCACCCGCGGCACCTACATTCGCTACCTGCGGGCTCGCAGCTGGAACCTGGCCAAGGCCACCAAGGTGTGTGGCTGTATCCCAATGTGGCAGCAGCTGCCACCCGCTGCTTCTGAGTCTCCAAAACGCCAGCCCGGCTCCCCGCCGCCTGTCGACCCAACCTGCCGCCCGGCGCCCGCCCCGGCCTCGCCGCCTGCCGCCCGCAGATGCTGCTGGAGACGCTGCGGTGGCGGGCAGAGTACCAGCCGCATGCGCTTCACTGGGACAACATCAAGCAGGAAGGGGCGCGCGGCAAGCTGTTCATCCTGGAGCAGCCAGACAAGGCGGGACGGCCGGTGGTGCTCATGCGGCCCAGGTGGGTGCGCGGCCTGGGGCCTGGGGTGTGCAGGTGCTGGGCGCCTGCAGGGGCGCTTCGCGAAGCTGGTTGCTCTGCATGAAGTCGAAGCTTGGGGCATGGCGCACCTGGCAATGCAGGCTGGAGGCGGCTTACAGCGGCAATAGCGACGAGCGGGTCAAGGTTGGTGCTGGGGTGGGATGAGTGCGTGTGGGGGTTGGCCGCAGCAGCACACCGTGGTGGTGCAGTGAAGGGTAGCCACTGCAAGGAGGGAGGCGGGGCGGCACTGACCAGCCATGCCGGTTGCTGGGCCCCTGGCACACCGCAGTGGCTGGTGTACACACTAGAGCAGGCGGCTCGAATCGCAGATGTGTCGGCAGGTGCGGCGCCGCGCTGAGGTGGCAGCTGCACCACGCGGCGCCAAACAAGTGTAGGGCGTGCCCAATCGGCTGCCGTCTGCTGCCTCTGTCACCTGTGTCCCGTGCCCTGCCCAACCGACCTGCCCAACCGACCTGCCCAACCGACCGACCGATTGCGTGCACGCCCGCCGGCCGTGCTGCCCGTCTTCCTGCCGCCCTGCCCTCCCTGCAGCCGACGGCAAGATGACGTGGCTGGTGGACTATGTGGGGTACAACAGCAAGAACAGCCCCCCCATCAAGGTCTCCCTGCAAGTGCTCAGCATCCTGCAGGTCAGGGGCCAGGGGCAGCGGCCACGGGGAGCGCAGGCAGCCAGGGTTGCAGGCGCTGCGGCGGGGTGCAGCGCGGCGTGTCCTTCTCAGCTGCCCGCGTCCTTCTCTCACCCACCCTCCTTTTGAGCTGCCGGCCCGGCCAGCGCCTGCCACTCTGCCGCGCTCCACCGCGCCTCGCCGCCCTCCTCCCCCACGCCTTGCCCGCCGCAGAACCACTTCCCGGAGCGGCTCGGGTGCGCGGTGTCATACCGCCCCCCCACGCTCTTCAACATCCTGTGGCGCGCCGTGTCGCCCTTCATCGACCCCAACACACGCGACAAGCTGGTCTTCCTGTCGGCCAAGAGCCCGCCGGGTGCGGGGCCGGGGGATGCGGGGGGCGGTCTGGCGCCGGGCTGCGTGGCAGCGGCAGGAGCAGGAGGCTGGCAGCTCCCTTGAGAACCTGCTGCTTTCCCTCGTCTCGTGTGCCGGCTCCCACACCCAGCCAGCCGTTTTTGTGCGTCTAGAGCTCCTGCCCCCACACACGCCCGCGCTCGCACCCACCCCACCCCGCCTTGCCCGCCCCCACGCCACGCCTCCGCCGCAGAGGAGCTGGAGAAGCACTTCAACCTGCAGCACATCGACGACTCGCTGGGCGGCGCCATCCCCGAGGCGCAGCTGTGGAGCTTCGAGGGATACGGCGAGCGCATGCAGGCGCTGGACGCGGCGGCGGCGGCGGCGGTGCAGGCGGCGGAGGAGGCGGTGCGGGAGGGTGCCAGGCTGTCGCCAGAGGAGGAGGCGCTGAATGCCGAGTTTGAGAAGCACGTGGTGGTGATCTGACTTGGCGCCAAGTGTGTGGCGTGGCTGTTGCCCCGTCTCTCCTTCGGTGCGCCACGATTCCCCTGGTCTTCCTTCCCTTCTTGAGAGCTGTCAACCAACCGCTGGCCATTTCATTCCTTTTCTGCACGCTGCACTTGCCGCAGCACCGCAGCACCTGCCTCTCTGTCTCGCTGCACTTCATCTTTCACTGCCTCATCAGGAACTGATAATCTGCCGTACAAACTTGCTCAGAGCCGACCCTCCTGTCTTGCTTCAGTACGGCAGGCCCTGTCCGTCTTCAGGCTCTGCCTGGCTCCAGTCCGCACCCTTTCTGCGGACAGCTGTAAGGCCTCACTCGTGCATGCTGAGGGCCGCCAGGCAGGGCAAGCAGCCCCGCAGCTGCTGCACGGTCTCCGCGCCACCCAGGCCGGGGCACCTGCGGCCATCACAGGAGCAGGGGGCAGCGAGGGGCAAGCAGGCGGCCGGTTGAGCCGAGCCATGTGCATGTGTGTGTGGTGTGCACAGCAGTGCGGCGGTAGCGCCCGCTCAGCTTCACATGCGTCATTTGCGGCCTGATGTCAGGCTGTCAACACCCCACCTGAAGGCCTCCAGGCCGGTGAGCGCGGTGAGGTGGCACAGCCAGGCGGCGGCGCCCGGTCCCAGCCTCGCGCACGAGTTGAGCTGCAGCTGGCTGAGCTGGCGGAGGGGCGCCAGCGAGGCAGCCCAGCCGTCGTCCACCGTCCCGGCATTGTCCGTGACGGTGACGGCGCGCAGGGCGGTGGCGGCCCCCGCCACCGCAGCAAACGCCTCTGCGTCCCAGCCCAGCCCGGTGCTGGCATGCAGGCGGCGCAGGCCGGTCAGGGCGCTGAGCTGGCGCCAGGCTGGCACCACCGCCGCATCCCGGCAGTAGCCAGAGAAGAAGACGTCCAGCGCGGTGAGCTGGGTGCAGCCGGCGCACCCGCCGGCAATGGCCTCGGCTGCAGCCAGGGAACAAGGTACTCAGTTGTAGGGAGCTCTCGAAAGGGGAAGGATACCTGACATGATCAGGTGAGGGCTTGGATCTGTATTGCCGACTGCGAGCATCCGCACTGCGGCATTTGAGTCATGGTGAGAGGGAGGCCGCTTGCCTGTGGCCCGCGGCAGCGCCCGCCGCAGGCCCAGCTGCACCTCCCTCAGCGCCGGCAGCCGCGCCAGCGCCGCCACCGCCGCCTCGCACACCTCGCTCTGAATGCCGCATGACTGCGGCGCAGCGGGGCGGCAGGGTGTGGAGGCGGGGCGTGCCGATCAGCAGGCGGAGCATGCGCCCATCTCTTGCGGCCGTGCAGTGCGCCCAAGCCTCTGTGCGTTCCCACGGCCGCCAGGTTGGCCCTGACACCCATACACACACACACACTGCACCCCACACACCCTCCCACCTGCACCCTGAGATGCTCCAGGCTGAAGGCCGAGCAGAGCGCCGCGGTCAGCGCCTGGGCGTCGTTCAGGTGGCAGCTGGCAAGCTCCAGCGCCTGCAGGCAAGGCATGGCGGCCAGCGGCGCCAGCAGCGCGCCGCTGCCTTGCACCTGCTCCAGCCGCAGCTCCTGCACACCGGATGGGCGGCTGAGCCAGGATGCAGGAGCCGAGAGCAAGGCGGGGGTCTGCGGCGCGCTAGCTAGCCCATGCGCAGCAGGCGCACGCCTTCGGCTGCAGCAGGCGGGGGCCTTGCCTGCATGCGCGGCATGGCGCGCAGCACCGCCGCCAGCGTGCCCTCGCTGAGATAGAAGTTGCCGGCGAGGCGGAGGCGGCGCATGCGCACCAGCGAGCGCCAGCACACCAGCGCCTCGTCCCTGCACAGATGCGGGTGAGCCGAGATGTGGCAGGCAGGCGCGCGATGGCTTGTGCAAGGCGCTGGATGGATCGGGATCCCCGCCCCGCCAGCATATACCATGGCCCAGCTAGTCACCGCTTTGTGCCAGCGCGGCAGCCCACCTGACCGTGTAGTTGAGCTCGCAGTCCAGCTCCTGCAGCAGTGTGCAGGCCGCCAGCTGCTGCACCGCGTCTGCCGGCAGCTGGATGCGGGGCAGGCTGCAGAGGAGGCGAGGGGGAGGAAGGCGGGGAGGCACGGCAGGGCGCGGCTTGGAGAGCGGCGCGGGTGGGAGCCGGCGCTGGAGAGCTGGCCCCATTGCTTGACCTCCTGCCAGCAGCAGACTCAAGCGAAGGAAGGCCCCCACCGCCGCCCGGCAGCGGCCCACCTCAGCGACTCCAGCTGGCGCAGCTGGTGGAAGGTGGGCGGGGCGGTGAGCAGGAAGCCGCCGTCGATGTGGCGCAGCACCAGGCGCGAGGAGCCCGCCATCAGCGCCCCCGCCCCCGCCAGCAGGCTGCCGGCCTTGACGCGGGATACGTGGGCAGCCAGGCCGCCGCCGGCGCCGATGAGGGTCCAGCGCATGAGCCGATCCACTGCGGGGCGGGGTGGTGGAGACCCTGTGGGACGGTGGGGAGCTACGGCTGGGCTGCCCTGGGCTGCCATGCTGCCGCGCTGCTGCTTGCTGGCGCTGAGCAGCAGGTCAACGTTGAAGGTGGTGGTCGTGTCAAGCATGCCGCAACCGGCGAGCAGCAGGCAATGGCGACTCACCCGCCACCCCATCCAGCAGGCGCAGCTCGAGGTGTGCCAGGCGGGGCAGGGCTGCCGCCAGCCCATCCACAGCCGCCTGCCCCACCTGGCAGCTGGTCACCTCGAGGCGCTTGAGCGCCGTGAGCTGCGCCAACACCCCCGCCCCCGCATCCGTCAGCAGCAGGCAGCCGTCGAGGCGCAGGGCCAGCAGGCGGCCGGCCAGAGGCAGCAGGGCGGTGAGGCCCTCGTCTGGCTGCAGCCGCATCTGCGCCGCCGCCAGGCGCAGCTGCCGTAGCAGGCGCAGCCCTGGAAGCCAGTCCAGCCAGGTGGGGCTCGCTTCGGGGAAGAACACTGCAACGATTGGGCCGGCCAGTGGGCAGTGATTGGAGATAAAAGCTCATAGCCAAGCTGCGAGACCAGAGGCCGCAGCAACACCCGGCGTGGGCCACGGTGCCACCCCAGGCATCCTCACCCGTGGCGTCAAGCTCTTGCAGCGCGGCGAGCCCCCCCAGCGCCGGCAGCGCGGTGGCGTGGATGTGGCGCAGCACCAGGGAGCGCAGGCGGGGGCACAGCGCCAGCTGCGGCAGCGGCGAGCTGGCGGGGTGCGGGAGAGGGGCCAGCACCTCGATGGCGCGCGCGTGCGGCGCCAGCGCCACATCCATGGCAGGGGACTGCCATGCCCACAGCTTGGCGGGCACACAGTGCCCTGCATCACAGAAGGGCAGCGCCAGGATAGGATGGGCTTCTCGCTGTGTAGGTGGCATGCAAGAGGGACCAGCCGCCGCTGGCTCACCGATCGGCAGGGCGGCGCGCCACGACCCGCACACCAGCCGCAGCAGCGTCTTTGCCGGGGCCAGCCCGCCAGTGCCGCCCAATACGCGCGCTATGTGCAAGAGCAGCTCCGCGGGGAGGTGGTCCCAGGCGGGGAGCCACTCCATCTGGGCATGCACGGCCCAGGACACTGCAACTCAATCAGAGCGCATTCCGGTTGTTCGAGAGGGGCAGTGGGCTCGTGGTAGAGCGAAGTGGAGAACGCGAGGAAGCCGTAAACGATTCGGGGGCGACGCGGTGCGATAGGGCAAAACACGCCATGCAAAGCACAGCACGCGTAGCGTGTCGCCAGTGTCGCCACTTTCTCCGTCTGGCTTGTTTTGATGGCTTAGGTGCAATGAATCTAGTTCTTGGGCAACTCCAGTTTGATTAGATTCCTCTATGCCTGATTTCACGGTTCCAGGATGCCCCTGTGCACGCATGGAATGCACTGCATTATAGCCTATTATAGCCTATTATAGCCAACAGTAGCCCACCCGTCCGCTCACAGAGAGCCATCGCGCCGGCCTCGCGCCGATCACCCCCACACCCCCACCCTCCACACTCACCCACCCACCCATCAGCATGTCAAGCAGCGAGGGAGCCAGCCTTGGGCAGCGCAGCCAGCAGCCGATCAGCAACCCGGCCTCCCGGGCATCCCTGCGGCCCGATTTCCCCCATATCGTGGTCAAGGGGCTCGCTCTGGAGGCCGGTGGGGGCCTGGGGGCCGCAGTCGCAGCCTTCGTTTTGTTTTGCCGGGCCAGCCTTCACCTGCCAGTGCCTGACTGTGTGCCTGTGACCTGCGTTGAGATTCGGGTGCGTGGGGACGGGCGCAGCGAATGCCACCTGCGACTGACTCCTGCCCTGTGCGGCGCCCTGATGGGTGCCCGCCGCCGCCTTGCGTGGGCAGCACCAGAGGTCAGCATTGACCTCTGGCGCTCACCTGGGGAGCTACAATACCTCCATGAGCTGCGCCAGCAGCGCGCGGAGGAGCCCCCAGCGCGCCAGGGTGGGGCGGGCTGCGACCTCTCGCTGGTGGCGAGCGGCTCCCCTCCCGCCGCCCTCAGCTGAAGTCGTTGCCGCCCCTGTTGCTGCTACCCCTGCCCAGCCCACGCCTGCGCCGCCTACACTGCCTGCCGCCGCCGCCGCCGCTGCCGCCGCCGCCGCTGCCGCCGCCGCCGCTGCTGCCGCCGCCATGCCCATCGCCCGGCCGCACGCACGCCAGCC